CAAAAAAAATTTAATAAAGGTATTAATATTTTTTCAAAAAAGGGATTTTTAAGGGGGGGGGCACAATGTTGCCAATGGGGAGGACCCCAAATTTTTTTTGGTGGGTGCCGTTTACTATATACCGCCTGGACCTACATCGGACATGATGATCGGAGCTCTGCCCAACTCTGGCGAAGCCTGTCGTATATACGAGGCGGTATAACCGAAATTGGTTATTTTGCCAGCCATGGGTAAACATATTTTTTAAACAAATAAGAAATTGGAATTTAATCTCTTCGTTGAATTTTTTAGGGTGGGCCAGTCGATTTTTTTTGCCAATTATGGACGGCCCCTCTGAGTGGTTTAATCCGCCCCTGACTACATACTGTTACACCATATTACTGATATTTAAACTTCATGGACATGATCGAAATTGCTAGTATCAATTTTTCAATTATAATTATTTAATGTGCAGGATGAAACGTCGACTTACACTATATTAAGTTTTCTGCACCCCTGCAGGAACCATGGGGGAACCATTAGTGGGTCTATGTATACGCCCCTGACGCAAGAACATGTCAAATTTTTAAAAACCTGGGTTCGCTGCAGGGAGTAAGGAATAGAAGGGAGAGACAACTGACGCGGTTCGCCCTACCATATGATTATACATGCTTTGCAGACGGTACTCCATTTTATATCGAGCTGTTTGGTTTCTTTAGTAGGGCCCCACAGGAAAAATATGTATTGGCTCAATTTTCTTTGACCAGTTTCGCCAATACATATTTNTCCAAAAATCGTATACTAGGACAGACCCAGCTTGTTACCACAAGCACAGAAGTTACTCAGGGATGGGGTTTGCGACAACTGCTTTCCTGATGGTATAACATTCACAACATTAAAATCTCTTCATCACTACTCTGGACATCACTTTTACCAACAGGTTTCTGTACTATATTTATGTCTGAGGGAACTGCCTTTCCATCTGATTTCATCAGAGCCCTGTTGGATATCTCAACAGGAGTAGAAACTGATGAATCAGGAGAAGGCCAGGATATATCTCCAAGAATATTCCTGGTCCGAACTCCACGCTTGCAAGGTTGAATCTGGGAAACATCAGGACTGTAGAAGCTGCTGATTCTCCGGTAATCTTTACCTAGTAAACCATCCAGAGGAGTTGTTTGTCTTGAAGAAGATGAAGTAGATGGAGTCGATGGTTTTGTTTCCAATATCTGGGGTGGAGTCCTTGGTATCTGTCTTCCAGCTGGGATTATTGTCATTGAAGACAGTGAATCGTCAGGTTTACAGCTGTCACCAATATTATAGCTGTCATCTGGCTTACAGCTGTCTGCTACTGTACAGCTGTCAACAAGACCAACATCACAAGCACCTGGTCTAGCTTCTGTGTTCAAATCAACATCCTTCAAAGGTTCCCTGGCATCAGAGTTGGCCCCTATTTTAAAAGCTTTCTTTGCATTTCCCTGAACAACTGCTCTCACCTTAGTTTTAACTCCTTGAGTTCCATAAACATGTTCCAGTTTATCCATGAGAGCTGTGATTATCCTCGAGAACTGGTTCTCCTCCAGCAGGTTCTGGTTCTCACCCACCAAGTGACCCAGGCCGGTCAAATTCAAGTACCTCTATCTTCTTGTGAACAGCAGGTTTTAGAATATCAGGATTAGTTTCAAGTTTTCCATTCAACCCAATTACATAAACGCTCATCAAAATAGGTTTTTTATAAAAGTTAGATTTTTAGAATATAACGTTGAAAAATGACATTTGGTTTCCAGTATGCCTGTAAAATCGTTCTCTAGGAATATACCCAAATTAAGTATAAATGTTTAAAGATCAAGATTATAAATTTTTAAAAGAAAGACATTTCTCTTAATATAGTGAAATTAACATATACTCTGACGACAAGAAAATTTCAATATAAACAAAGACAGTACATTTTTTAAGGTTTTGCAGAGTGGCTTTTCTAAAGATTTAAAAAAGTTACATCTTTCTCTTCTTAGTAAAACTATTTTAATGTTACTTAAATTAAATTCAGTTTTTATACAGATCTTTGTTGTTAATGTAAAATGAATGACTATAATGAAGGATATAAAACAAGGTGATCAATTGCTAAAAGGTATGGAAATGAATTGACTTTATTTGATAGTTTGTAAATGCCAGAAATGAGTGGAAAATGTAAATCAAACCCAACTAAAACCAATAATTTGATATACATCATGATATTTTTCTAAGGGGGGTAAAAAAAATTCGGCGTGCTTCGCACGCTTCATGAAAAACATTTACCCCCCTCCCCCTACAGAATCCATTTACTCCCCTGCCCCGAATATTAAAAAAACTAATTTTGTTAGACACAGTTGGGAAGGAGTAGCTGCGATGAAAAATTTTTCTTCTGATGCCCAACTTTTTATTTTTGTAACCCAATTCATCAAAAATTATTACGCCTACCCCAGGACCGGGGCGGGGATGTAATTTTGAAAATTATACTTTCGTGCTAAAACCTATAAAAATTATCTCAAGAATTATAGCTGTATATTATATACATACCTCAATGTTTCATTTTTTTAGGAAAGAATGAATGACTCGAAGGTGGTTTGGGTTGGTGTTGATGCATTTCGGGAGAATATGTCTCGACCTAGACGTCTGGAGAAGCATGCAAGTTTTCGATCTTATCAAGGATCTGGTGGTGATAGTAAAAGATCAGGGAACTCCTCTCAATCTAGCTCTCGAAGTAACGCTGTTCAGGTAAAATCAATGCTGGAGAAAAGATCACCTACTGAACCTCTTTCGTAATCTTTTGCTGCATCAGTTTCATCAACCAGAGCTGAAAACTTTAGAATGGTGGATATCAAGATTAATGCTTGATCTCCTCTTTTCCTTAATCTCCAGATTAAAAAATGCTTGTTCTCCTCATTTCTGGCATTTACAAACTATCAAATAAAGTCAATTCATTTCCATACCTTTTAGCAATTAATCTCCAGATTAATTAACGGATCGGGATTAAGGATACCCATTCTAAAGTTTCCAGCTCAGTTCACACATACAAGAGGTAATTCTCAACATTTTTATTTAAAGTTTGAATTGTCGAATAAATTTTATTTATCAGATATTAGCAAGTTAAATCAAGAAAAATAAACCTGGAGAATGTTTTCTGTTGACGGGGAGGGGGTTGGGGGATAAACGTGAAACATTTTTTGGAAGAGAACTCTTGAAGCAGAAACTTTGGAAAGCCCCCCCCCCCGTTCGTCTGTTTGTTTTTTGTAAGTTCGATTACAACTTATGAACACCTTGACCGATTTGCATACCAAGGGTGATAAACGTAAAACATTTTAAGAGAAATCTTTTAGCGTTAACAGGATAGCCCCCCCCCTCTCCCCAGTTCGTCTGTTTGTTTGTATTATTATGGTTCTTAAGTTATTGACTTTTATAGGGTAACCTTGGTCAAAAACTCCGATCCTGAACCCTGTGTCCAAATTTTGTATGGGTCTTTACATGATCCTGCAGGAAAGGTTTATTGAACATCAAAGTTGAAGAAAAATAATTCCTGAAAAATAGTTGGAACTTTTTTTTTGTTTATTTAAATGCGCTAAAAATATGAAAATTATTTAAAATGCAGAGCAACAGTTAAAACTTAAGCTAAATTTATCTATAGGAAAGCCTAAAAGTATTGTAAATCTAGTCCTACAGGAAGGGGAGAAAATATCAGTTTTTCTAATTATTTTTTTTATTTAGGTTTCTCCAACTTCACATGGTTCAAAAGAGTCGATGATTACCTGTGACGCCTCAAATGAATTAAAGGTTAGGTTTTGTAAAACTTGACAAAATCAAGAGAAAATTAGACCTCACGACATTTGATCCAGCGATTCTGGATTATGGTTTCCAGCGAAAAGGAAAAATCTTATCGTTCATTTTCGCATTTCGTTCGGTTGCGAAAAATGCAAAAATTCTTTTTTTTCGCGAAATTTCGCTTCAATCGGTTTTGCGAAATAATGCAAAAGTTTGGTGAGAATTCCAGAAGTTCTTTCAAGCAATTAATTGTTGCAGCTATAAAACTCGTGTTTTTCACAAAATTTTCGCATTTTGCAAAAATATATTTTGCAATTTGTGATTTTTTTTCTCGCGAAATCTCGCGAAAAAGTTGCCAAGTGCGACCTAAAAGTTTCGCTTTTTTTTCGCTGGAAACCCTATTCTGGATCCAGTGCCATATAATCCAGTCGACATATGATTTTATGCAGAAGAACTCATTTTCACATGGAATCTATCTTCAACTTCATCGTCTGCTAACCCTGCTGGGGTACTTTTAAACCAGGATACGAAAAACTTGTGCAATATATTTTCTTGCGTCATGGCTTTTCAAAAAGCTAAAAATTATTCAAATTTGACAACTGAAAGTGAGTCAAACCAAATTAGTTTAGTTTGCTACAGGAAAAGTACTGATTCAGCCAGTGTGCCTGAGGATTCAGGCAGTCGGAATAAAAGACCTAGGACGACATTTAATACATTCAATGTCGTAGATGCTATATCAATTGGACTACTGAAAATCGGAACTAACGCCCCATTAAATTTTTACGATACTATATCGGAAATAAAAAAGCATTTAACATACTTTGAAGTTAAAGTTTTCAGCTCTGAATTATTTTTTCATGAATATCCTACAGAATTTTTTGTAACAAGTGGTTGTATCAATGACTACTCAGTTCACAATATTGTTATTGATATTTGTTGTGCATTATTATTGAATTACAATTTAGGTATCTGAAAACAAGCAAGCTACGGTATTAATCAATCCCAGATTTTCATTCAGAAGAAAATATTTCTTTAAAATTAAAATTTCTCTGCGCAAAGTTTAATATCCATTTGACAATCCTTATTTTATTTGAAATGTATTGAACTAAAATATCAAACAAGAAGATTAATAATCCTGGTCTTTTTGTTATTTAATTAGTATCATTTTTTATACCAGATGTGGATCCATTAACTAAATTCAAAGAATTTGATCTAGGTCGCTGAATTACCTATACCGCTGCGCCGCCGGTTCAAATATTAAATCACCAATTCAGAGCTAAAAAATTATGAGGATTTAAATTTGCGATTTAAGATTTAAGCCGGCAGTAGGCAATTCAGCAACCTCTAAATCGAAAGTGATGATATACCTAATCTATTCTACCAGCGTATTGTTGTTTTTTAATGCCAGTTATTATTCAGGATGAGCTCAGTAACAATGGATCTGAAGAATCAAGTATTCTAAATGGTTTGGAGACTGGTGAAGAGCTCAGATCAAGATTTTTCCGGGAGATTCAAGCTGAGCTAGATCAGACTACTGAGTGGAATAATAAAATATCAGTCCTGAAATCTCTTCTGGCCGGAGTAGGTCAATCCAACTCAGAAGACGAGATCAATTTCTCTGACTCTGTTCCAGTTGAGAAGAAAGAGATCGATGACCAGGATCAGGTTGATCAAGTTGGTCAGGCACAGATTCAAGGTTCTCATCACGACCTCAATTCACAATTAAAACCAGCTTCTGTAACCAAGCAAGCTAGGGTTGCCCACAAGATGTAGGAGAGTCGATAAATACCTCTGACCAAGTATCCTATGATCTAAAGGTTAGATGTTGCTTAAATAGATAAAATCTTCGTTAAAAAAAAGAAATGGGAAAGAAAATGCCATGTTTTTTGTTATGCAAGGACCACTATTATTTTGGACTCAATTACTGTACATTGTATATATATTCTTTGAAAATTTTAAATTGTGAAATTTTGAGAAAGGTTTAAATTTGTAAATAAGTTTTTTCATTTGTATTTTATTAATCGGCCACCATTTTGTGATAATTTTTGAAAATTGTAGTTTTCATTTTTTTTATGTATACTCTAAATAAATGTCTTTCCTGTGTTCTTCAGTTTAATTTTTGCCTTTTTAGCCATTGTCTCGTCTCTGAAGTCTTATACTGTTTCTATCTTTCTTTTCTATGAATAAGATGATTGACTTGTTGAAAGAATGTTATTTACTAATAAACAGTAACATATTCTAATTTTTATTATAACTAAATCCGACATTACTTTTGCCTAGAGTGTATAATTTTCATAATCCTTAATAAAAGTCATCAACACAATGAGGTAATCGGAAAAAGTTTTACAAATTAATTGGACAGGGTTTATAATTATATAATATTGTAGAAATGGTTTTTAAATTGAAGATTGTATCAACGATTCTGGTATTATGGTGTCCGACGCTGAATATTTTAAGTGTGAATAATTATTTTTTCTTTTCTATGGTGATGTCAAGCATTAATTTAATTTGACTCTTGCACGGAATTACAATTGACCCTCTATTTGTACCTTTCAAACCTTTGACCTTTCAAAGATGACTGAATTATCCTTATCTCTATACAGAAACGCTTGTGATTGTTGATCTACAGCATTCTGATTCTGATTCATTCTTCAGCTCGTTTTTGCAAATAGCAAATAGGTTGTCAAGTACAATAGTTGGCAACAGAAAAATCGACCAACTGCGCACAACGTCATATGTGTCAAATGAAAAAAGAAAAAAGTACATGTTCTAACTATATATTAAGAATGTTCATGTACTATCATTATGTGGAGAAAGTACATGTACTATCCAAGATGAGACTGTATAATAAAAGTGTTCATGTACTATTCAAATGTTGAAGAGTACATGTACTATCAATGATAAGAGAACAACTGTAGAACATATGTACAATCCATATTGAGAGATTCCATGTACTTTCCACAAAATATGAAATGAATTGACTAAACTATGGTTTAGTTAGAAGAAGAGTAGTTTTCTGTGTTCCCAGGCGAAGCTGGGTTCTAAGCTAGTATAGAATATGTATACTATAAACTTTATTATGATCATTGAAAAGATAAAATATTCCAATGTTTTGTCTGGATTTGTTTAAATTATATCTTTATAAAATGTAATAAACTCCTGGAGCATCACATTTTTCTTTTGTTTTTTGTACATCATATATCATATATATTGACTAAGAGATAATAGCTGGATTGATGGTGAACTTATAATGATTAAAGACATTGTCATTTCAATTTAAAAATGGACACGCCAGATTCACAACGGTACCTATTAAACCTTTATCTAATCAAAGCTATAAAAGATACGCTTCTTTTTTAGCTTGAAAAATGTTTGATTCTGACAATGGAGAATTTACCAAAAACCTAGGCATTTGATAAATTTCCCAGATACCCAGGCATTTGATAAATTTCCCAGATACCCAGGCATTTGATAAATTTACCAGATACCCAGGCATTTGGTAAATTTCCCAGATACCCAGGCATTTGATAAATTTCCCAGATACCCAGGCATTTGATAAATTTCCCAGATACCCAGGCATTTGATAAATTTCCCAGATACCCAGGCATTTGGGAAAATTTCCCAGATACCCAGGCATTTTGGAAATTTCCCAAATTACTATAGGTGAATGATATGTTTTTAAGATTTGGGAAATTTCTCAAATAACTTGATACTTTGGGAATTTTCCAAAACCTAGGCATTTTGGAAATTCCTATTTTTGACATTTTTAATAATTTCTGTCACTCTCTCACCTAAGATCAGGTATCTAATTTTGAAATTTCAAAGGTTCACAGATTAAGATATAGGAATTGGAAATTTGTTTTTTGTTGTTTTTGCAAAGACTCAATTTCTTTGTGGAAATGGTTTCTCCTACATTATTAACAATTTACAACTAATAATAATACTATTATAGCAGCATCATTATTCATTTTGGAGTTTGTATTCTCCTCATACATAATTAATATCGTAATAGACAATACTGACTTAATCACAGATTACAGAGATTGGACCATAAAGAAAGTTGTTCTGTTGGATTGCAATGCTCGATTCATAACGGTATCCTTTCAAACTTTGACTTGTTATCGAGGACAGAACTCAACGCGGGTGACGTCACATTTATTACAGGAAAAGCCTAAATATATTTTGTCTAACGCAGTTTTCAACATTTCAAATGTGAATATATTCATATTCTGCCACTTCTAGAGAGAAATTATTAATATTCCTTCAATATAAATACCTTGTTTAACAAATACAAAAATAAGGAAAAGTCTGTCATCATTGTTTAGTCAAAGATTGAATGGTACCGTGGTGAATCGGGGTTGCCCCTCTTTAAATAGAAAGTCACCTAAAATCACGCGTTCAGTCCCTTTAAGCAGAGAAAAACTGTACAAGGGTACTTTTTTCTATAATATTTGAAACAAACAAGCTAAAGATTGTGTTTGATTTGATCCAATAGCACTTATATTGATGTAATATACTAATTTTTTCGATTTGATGGTATAAACCTTTGATATTTTTTTTAGATTATAGAAATCAGTCTGAAATTATTAGGACCATTGGGTTGCAAAGATATAGGGATTAAAAAATCAGAGTTTTTGACAAAAACTCATTTCCTTTATCCATTTTATACATCTTGTAAAATATAATTGAATAAAATTTTACAAAATACTTGCAAAATAGAAGCAAAATTGCAGAGAGCTCAGTGTCTGCTCTTAGTTAATAACTGGATAAAAGGATAAGATAAATAGAAAAAATAAGATTTTTTTAGATTTTTGTCCGAACCTGTATAGGGAGGTTGGCAGTATTCTGAGACACATTGTATATACTTATATAGTATACGATTTATTCCCCTTTAGTGGCAATGTCAGGATTTTAAATATCCAATATTAGCCAGGAAATTGCCTAAGAGGATCCAGACGGGGGAACACAAAATATTTATTTTTTGTCATGAAGAGAGATTCTGATGCGGGGGGGGGGGCAAATGAAGTAAACCAAATGAATTAATCACTCAGGAACCCCCAACAAATTCAATTTCCTAAAAGGGAGTGTTCACGAAATATGAAAGGGGGTATAGATTCACGGCGAAAAATAAGCGCTTTTGATCGCTACTAATCTTACTTCTATCTGTTGCGTCTATAAGGAGAAAATTGTTAAAAACGACTCACACCAAAGAACGCAGCGTCCATACAAATGCGGAAAGATTCAACATTCAACTCAGATCGTAAACAAATCAATTTAATTCCAAACAAATCATTCAGATATTACAAACAGTAGTCATCGATAATTTTTCTATGCATTCGTATATAGTTAATATTTCATAATAATTTGGATTTTGTTTTTTTTAGATAATTTTCGCTGGCGCTATATTTTCGAACATTCCTGGAAAATATAAAAATGTCGTCTTCATTATCAAAAATCCTCGAAACAGGAATAAATGTTTTCAAAAGTAACTCTCAGATCATGAAAAATACAAAATATTACGCAATATCAACTTTTTACGAATGCGTCGAAAAATAATAAATGACAATTGTTTGCAATATCTGAATGATTTATTTGGAATTAAATTGATTTGTTTACGATCCGAGTTGAATGTTGCATCTTTCTGAATTTGTATGGACACTACGTTCTTCGGTATTATCGTTTTTAACAATTTTCTCCTTAAAGACGCAACAGTTAAAAGTAAGATTAGTAGCAATCAAAAGCGCTTATTTTTCGCCGCAAGCCTATATCCCCTTTCATTTTTTGCGAACACTCCCTTTAAATACATTTTTCTCAAAGGTTATAGTCTTTTAGCATAAAATGAATAGTCTGAGTTTATAATATTAATTACAACTGTCTATTTAACAACCGTGTATATTGATGTCAAGTGTGCTACAAGAGCATTGCCACTTCTAACTAAAGTAAATTTCATTTTAATTAGTTTTAAATCTTCAATTTCCTCAAAGACGTTTTCCTGAAGGTTGACATTTTACTAAGATACTGATAATAATTGTCTATTCAATAAAGTTTGAAAGCTGTGTCTATTGTCTACAGCAAATAGTACCATTTTCAACAAAGTCAATTTCGCTGAAGTTAAAAATCTTAAATGTTTTAACTAAAAATAAAGTGCTGTTTGTAAGAAAAAAAATTATAAAATACTAAATAATGCAACCTTACAAGTTGTTTATATCAACTATCAGATAAAAACTAGAAAAAATACGATGTCACAAAGTCGTAAACAAGAGGTTCCGTATTTTAACATAGAATAATTGCAAATTATATTTGTTATACATAATTTGATTATTTTCCTTTCTTTGTATGACAGACAGAAATATATTTTCTAAGAAATGTGGAACTTGCAACAATTAGTTTATGAGGCTATAAAAAAGTTTAAGTGAATAAGTGAGATTAAATGAAAGGCGTTGTGACACTCTCAACTCGGCCTAATCTTTTCCATGTTTTGTTTGACATTTATCGGGTGTTTAAAAGTACTTTAAGTTCATAGGNTGGAGGAGGGGGGGGGAGGGGAGATTGTATTATGTAGATTGTGGCAGACTAGATATATCATATGACGGCTGAAAAGTCTCAATATCCTGGTTTATATTATCCTAGGATTTAGTTTAGACCAAATATAATAATTTTGTTTCAATCAAAATATTGATATTAAAGGGAATGTTTACGAAAATAAGGTAAACATTAAATCAAATCAAATCAAATATATATATTTGTCTCAAGCATGTACATGTAGAAAATAACATATTTTAAAACATATTTATGAAACTTGAGACGGGGAGGCATTGATAGCCAGGGGCAGTTTAACACGCAGCTTCCCACTGTAGAGTCAGTTTTTGCAATGATGCTGACTTGAAGAGGTGCTGCTGGATGTCATGCTGCTTATGGGATGGAGGTAGCTGGAGCTACTGGAGAGGATACAGTTCATAA